CAGACTACGGAAAAACTTGCAAATTTTCGGCTTTTCCCAACGTTTCTTTTTTCGCAAAAGAGGATTTTTCCCTGATTTCAGTTAGGCGTAAAGCGTCGCAAAAAGAACGTCCTGAGGGTATAATTTCTTTGCAGAAGTCTTTCTAAACGTTATTGACAGCCACAAGCAATGTTATAAATCCATAACCCAACATATCTATGCCTGCAGAGCAATTCACTGTCGTAGTAGCCGTTTGCAGCGCAGAATGGCGCGCGGACCGAACATTCAATGAAAAAGCGAAGGAAATGATCATATAAAAGATCGCCCATTGCAGTCTTTCTTGAAGTAAGATTATTGAAAAATGAGTGTTTAAAGACGATGAGGTGAAGGTTTTAAAAAAGTACGCAGATTTAAGTTGGTGTCTTCAAAATTTGCCATAAAATTGTCACAAACGACAAATGAGCAAGAAATGAGTGTAATAGGTGAAACTGACAAAACAGAATGGTACAAATTACTTTTTGATTAAATAGAAATTGAATTGGTTTATAATGCTAAGTAAAGAACGATTGATAGCTAACTTTCTTCAAAACGTCTTAGAATGAATTGCTTTACGACTGCTATAAGTCGCGACAGCTATAACTTCATAAAAAAAAACTCATAACTACTGGTATTCACATAGTGTAGATCACTAAAGTTGCGTTAGATCAAAGTCTCTCAGAGTCATAATCAATGATATCGACTGTCCAGGAAGTCTCCTCTGAGCGCTGGCGTTCCTATAAGAATCCTCGCTGCTATTGTTCCTAAATAATTAGTTTATTCTGTAATCTGATTAGAAAGTATCTCTTTTTCTGTTAGTATGCTGTGTCAAAAACCATGAAATCTCGTTAACTTTATTGTCAAATTCTTGTTATTCTCTTGTTACGTCATTGTTTTCTGTATCGATAAATAATTACAGGAATAAAATTGGTGTAAATGGATCTCAATCGCCATTCTCCTCTTTCTCATCTCCTCCATTTCGTGCAGTTGGCTCCGCTGAACTTGGTCCATTCGTAGCCGCACCTGGTGAGTCCTTCCTACGGTCTTCCGCTTGTCCTGGTGTTGATTCTTCCCTTTTTGGCTTGCCTTCACCTTCAATTGATCCCATTTTATTTGATAATTTTGGTCGCAGTACTGCTTCCTTTTCTTTTGGAGTTCTTTGTGTCGGCCTAATCGGTGGCTTCATAGGAGGCATTAATGACGTTGCACCCTGAAATTTGCCATTTTCTTATAAAATTAATGGGATTTTTCAGTCAGCCATTCGTTAAACCTTTCATGAATATTTGATTTGATGCTGAGTAATCCTATTGTAATTGTCCACTAAATAATCTGCAATCTATTTCTCAATTTTTATATCTACTTTTTAAATCCACTATTTGGACGTTTAAAGAGATTCCAAAATCCTCCTTTTTGATACTCTTGCCTTCAAATGTTAACTCCCTCTTTACATATTTCTAGGTTCTAATTTTCTCAAATTCAGCGCCAATTCTTTGGTGTTTCTGATATTGAGTCACCATCATCTTTTTCTTTAAATGAAAATGAGTCCTTGTGCAAGAGCTAGTAGAGGTCTGGATCTCACCTTCTTTGGTGCAGCTATCACATACTGTTTTGGAATTTTATACACTATCTGCAAACTCTCTAGTAAGTTGAGATTCTTCATACTTTGTTCCAAAGGTCCGGTAGTCTTACCTTAGCCTTAGATGGTGATACGGGTGATTCCTCATTGTTCTGAAACATATTTTTCACATCATTTATGGATAAAACGTGATTTTTTCAAATTTTCATTAATATTTCGTTTTGGTAGTAATTAACCCACCTTTCGACATCCTGGTATGTTCTTTTGTATAGTTGACTCCTTACTATGTTCTTTTGAACCCTTAACATTGAAAATTACTTTTAAAATTTCGACTCTTCTATGAGAAACTTCCAAACGGGATTACTCCTTAGTACCATCAATGACAACCTGATAATTATTACCTTATTGAAACCTTATTCTTCAGACATCCTCTGAGCTTGTTCAGTTGATAGTCAATCTTTTAGAATTGCAAATCAGGCTTTCATGATGTTAACCCCTTCATTATTTTCACACATATTATTAACTTTGAAATTATTGCGCCATTACTATAGAGACTACAATGATATTTCTCTGCATGTTCTTGTTTATTATTTTTCCGTCAAGTTCTACATTAATTTATATTTTCCTGTTAAGAAAAATAATTATAGCGCACTGTTCTTTACCTCTGATTTTCGTAATACTTCAGCAGATCGCGGTTTTGGTTGTAACAGCTTCATTTGTTTAACCTGGATGAATGATTAAACGATAAGAATTTGGGATCTGTGTTAAAAGCCTGCCTTTGCTGATTCTGCCGATCCTTTCATGAACAGTTGCTTTTGTTTGGCCTGAATTTAATTCTTTACTTTTCTTGATATTCATCGAAGAAAGTAAAACGAGTGTTTCAAGCAATTTCTTTTCTTGTAAACAACGATTGTCGATCAACGATTAAATTCGCTAATG